CAGCAGCTCTAATGTCTCTAAAGTACATTTCTCAACAAATAACCAAGCAATGTTATGCTTTATTTGTATCATTTGTATTTTGTCTTCTCCACACGAGTGCATTAAGTGGATAGAATGACTTCACAATGACTTATCAATATTAATAACAGCTCAAGAGGTTCTATACCTTTATATTGATGTTTATAAATCTTAAAGTATGAATTTATGTAGCCTAGAAAGTCTGTTTTTATATAATGAACATCTATAAAGGTAGACTATTGACTTCCTGCTGATTCAGAGACAATAAAATAGTTCCTTTGAATAAATATTTGTTTCAGGGAACAGATTTCTTAAAATTAATGGATTCCTTGTTATGTATCACTCTACACATATATGTAACTCAGTGGTAAGAATATGAATGATACCTGAAACAAGATACCTGAAACAAGATACCTGAAAAGGAAAGCAATACATTTATATGCACAAAACAAAATTTAATGACATTAAAATTGCTAGAAGTCTTCTATTTAGAGATGGAAGAAATGCCATTAAATTGGCTGAAAGAAAAATTACTATTGACTATGAAGACAGGTTGTATGGTCTGTGGTTTGTAATGCTGCTGTACAGTAGATTGAAGTTGCAAAATAGTATTACTCTTCTTTAAACAGATAGACACAGCTGAATTAGATGTTGCTTGCTGCAGTGAGGATCAAATGCAAAAAAATCATATTTCACCAGACCTAGTCGACACCAGGAAAATAAATAGAAATATAAGAGGTATGCAGGCAATGATTCATTTTGATAATCTTGCCCAAGAGAGACACATAGAGACAGCACACAGATCTAAATTTCTATCAAAAGACAAATAGGACACAGAGGGTGGGAACTGGGATGACAGTGTAGCAGAGGTCACATCGATTTTCAGCAGCAGTTTCCACACAGATGAGATAACCCTGGACTCTATTTGGCCCATTGTTCATATCCTACCTGTCCCACAAGCAATAAATTTCCTAGTCCTAGAAAAAGGGCAGTAAAGAAGAAGGATTCTACTCATGACTTCTTATGATTAAGTTTCTGTGCTAACCAAACATGCTTTTCAGACCAAGGTCACATTGCATGTTAAGGTCTGTAATAGCCAAAAACTAGTGGAAGTGTATTATGTTTTAGCGTGTACTAGTAGAAACTGTCAAACTATACATCCGAGGATTTTTTTCTGATTTAAATCACATTCTACAAAAATGAATGATAAATACATTAGAAATTGATTCCAATCTTGTAACAACAGGTCTTCACATCTGAATGGCATCTATCTACATTTTGCTCAGTTTGAATAAATGCACTATTACGTAGGAATTTATTAGGTGGGGTTCAGAAATCCTAATTGGCAATGAAATTAAAAATGGGTAAGTACTGGAAACATGGATTGTCAGTTAAATGAGAGCATCACTTTGTAACCCCAGGAGAAAGGTTTTTGATTGAGTATTTTGATTTAAAATGCCGGTGTTCAAGTGTATATATTAATACATTTATCAGCACATATAATGCAATGGTACAAACTAAAAAATAAAGATAGGACAACTGCTATCTTCTCAAAAACATGAACAACCTCTCCCTTTTTTGAAGCAACGTGGAGACTGATTTTATTGAGCCTCTTTGTAAAACCTGCCATACTTTGTAATAGCACATGGGAATCCACTTAGAGAACAGGCTCTTTATTTTAATTATTTGCTTAGGACCCAGATGAATAGATGTAAAAGTTGACAAGAACTTTATTTGTAGAAAAAAAATAAATATGTGATAAATTCTCGGAATGAAAAAGTCATCATGAAAATTAAAGTCAAGGTAGCTTGAGAGTTTCTATATGACTCCAGTGCTTATTCTCCTACTTTTCTTGTGAAGTGGTTTCCTCTTTCCTCTGGGCTTTGAGGATTGCAATACAGGAATATAAACTGAAAACAGCTGACTCACCCAGCAGTGGAAAAATGCAGCTACCTAACAGGTCATCAGTTTTATTCTTTAATAAGTAAATTATATTCCATTATTTGATTTGAGAGCTTTCCCCTAAATACAGCTGGCCCAAGGGACTCTCCTTTGTCAATGTCATTAGTATTACATTCAGCACAAGCAAGACA